CGGTGGCCTTGGTCTGTGATGGCTGATGTGCAGAGAGCTGACAGCAGAGATTCTAGATGTGACAATGACAAGTCTTAAGCCTTGTTGTCGGTGCATGTTACTTGAACAGGCTCACCCAACCACACTGATAGAAGAAGATGGCCGTGCCCAACTTAAAATAATATGTCGACCCAGGCCTTACCGGTGCAGTGCAGGCCAAGATTGGAAGCCACAAGAAGTCGGGAGGATAATATTTTAATTGGAAAACAGTAAGATGGATGAATGGCTGTAGAGCAGAAGGAAGAGAGATGGGAGGAGGAGCAGAGAGCAGGAAGCTTGTTAGGGAAAGGCCAGCAAAGGGGAGGAAGCGTGTGTTGTGTGTGTAGGGGGGGGTGTCAAAGGAACAATGGCCGAGCAGTGCAGTGATCCAGACAAGACCAAGCTGTCGCGGAGCCCCTACTCCATATGTACTATTTAAAAAGCATGCATGTGTGCACACACACAAACACACGCAGCTTGACACGCCACTATCACTTTGTGTACGGTATTTTCTCCCTCTCTCCTGTGTGTGTGTGTTGTTTACGTATGCTGTTGCACATTTACCCGTCAGTTGCTTGAAAGAAAGTGAAATAGAGAGATAGGTGAGAGGTTTGTGTGTGTGTGTGTGTGTGTGTGTGTGTGCGTGTGTGAGTGAGAGAGAGAGAGAGATTTAGCATTGCCAGCATTAGTGCATGATATGTGGGCGGATATTGAAGATGTTATTAGTATCACATTTACAGGCCTTATAAAACTGCCACAGAACTGGGTGGCTTTCATACATCTTCAGCTGCTATGTGTCACACTGTCATTTGTGTTGCATTTCCAGCAGCTGCTCAGATGATCATTCTGTGATAGAGCAGTCATTACACGCAGTCTCATTTCTCTGTCCCATTTAACCTTCCTGCTGCACTTCGGTCAAAATTGACTGATTTCATAACTTAATTCTGTAATAATTTTTTTTCCCTCCATCTGATTGCCAAAATGGTTTCTGTCACACTCAATATTCTAGGATATAAAATTAATGATCGCCACAATTATAAAACTTTTATACTATGTTTGTATTACATTTTCAAACGCATCAATTCTTGCAACACTCTCAGATGTCCCACTTCTCCCCTCATGGGACCCAAAGATTATAACTTTAAATTATATTTGAACAAACAAAACACTGTATTCACCTGCAAGATGACATCTTGCTACACTGGACAGCTCTTGTACTGTAGCTTTGTAGCAGTATATAAGGCTTCTTTATGTTGCCAGCATGTCATTCCGTGATAGCACCACAATAAGCAAGCAACTGACTCTTGCTGGGAATGAGGCACCTGATCTCATTTTGGATTATCGCCCTGATGAAAATGTGAAAATCCAGCCTGGAACCGCAAGGAGCTCACCATAAGGAGGCTCTCCCTAAAGGAGCTAGAGAGATCTATGGAGATGTGTACGGACATTGGCCTTGGCCAGATTGGCAAGAGACACTCCCACACAAATAAACCCAGAGTGGAGGGTTTTGCTTCTAGGAACAAATCCACTAAAAACAAAAGATAATGCAAACAAAAAGGTGACCCTAAGAAATGTGAAAAACAGCACCATGGGCCACAAATGGAGTAAGTATACTCTTAGCCACAGAATTGAACTGCATATTCAACAAGCTAAATGAAGGTTTGTGTTCTACAATAATCTTTTACAGATTCAGTCCAGACTTTTTACAAGATGAATGTTCATTTCTTTCTCAATTAATTAAACACCATACAGATTCATTAGATGTTAATATGATGGAAATTATAAACTTTGGAACAGTCTTTGCGAGTACACTCTTTTTAGTTTTGTATATACTCAACTTCTTAAAAATATTTCTTCTAGTGTCATAATTGTTAAGGGATTGTTTCACCCAAATGAAAAACATATTTTCTCACTGACCATTAGTGGTATCTATCCACATTTTTTGGTTTTATTTGACCAAAATCTGTCTGTCTGTCCGTTGAGATTCTCCTGCCACTCCATAAGCTATACAGAGTTAAAAACAGTTTGTTTGTGGTACCCACACTTTTGAAAAAAGTACATTTTTAAAACATGTTCAGATGTTTTTTTTCTAGATTAATAGTCCAACTCTCTCTGATAACCCACAGAACAAGCTATAAACCGTTTTCATTGACAATTCTTCAGAAATACCTTCCAATGAAACCTGTTGATGAAAGTGGTCTGTGTATAATCCAGAGTAACTCTGATTCTGTAAAAACATGTTGCAATAGTTTGTTTCTTCATGTCTTTTTGCCACGGCCGCTGTCCAGGGCAATGTGTCTGGGGCTGATGTCGGTGTTTCCCCGATTAGCCTTATCATTTACCTCACCTAGCTAACTATACTTGCTGTTCCAGATCGTGCGCACTGGGTCTTGGAGACACCAATGCCAAGCTCCCTCCACTCCATCAGCCTTGTTAAGAGTGCTTTTGTCTGTGACCAGGTCAATTTGTTTTTACCTGCCCTTTCCAGCAGTAGATCTTCTGGTTTTGCATTGACTTGAAATAGAAGGAAGGTTTTTTTTTTAAGTCAGACATGACATGTGTGGCATGATCTTTGCATGTGGGTCCATTTAAGCAACTTTTTTGTTTTATGCGGAAAGCCCAGCAGCACAAAATTCTTCAAACCTGGGCAAATAAAACCAATACTATCTGGCTAGATTCCACTAGCGGAAAGTGAAAAAATATGTTTTTGATATAAATTAAGTAGGTTGAATGGTTTAAAATTAAATTGAATTATAAACTATGTGTTAGTTTGTTTCATAAATAGAAACACAGGCATGATTTCCATGGATCTTGTTACAACCAAGAGCAAAAAATCCTTAGAACTTTATCTGGAAGCCATATTTAGAAAAAGCATAGCAGAGCAGTATTATGAACCAATGTTCTCTAAGCTCATTAGTCACTGCTTCACATGTTCTCAGATAGAACATGTTACAGATCCTCTCTGTGGATGCTAGAGGCAGGCTTGGAAGTTTTGGTTGCAAACGATGCTGTATTTAGACTCTGACACTTTGCCACTGCTTTACTGAACCAATGCCCCTGACCAGCCTTTGTCCTCTATCCAGGCGAGTTAAAAAAGGAGCCCTCTCTCACATCCAACTCATCAGCCATCATCAGTGGGTTTCTCATCTCTGCTAAAAGGGGACACGGCCCTGCCGGCTCCATTAGTTCCGACAGCAGCCCAGAGAAATAAAACAAACGAGGTTATTCACTGTGTTTAAAAAAAGAAGAGGCCACATTATGGTTATTCACTGCTCACATTCAGGGTGGAGACAGTTCTACAGTAAAGAGAGGTCTCCAAATGAAAAGTCAGCATAATGAAAAGTCAGTATATTATTTCTTTAATATTGTCCATATTTACTGTGAAGTTTCTTGTCATTTCCTTTCATAAAATCCATTACATTTTTACTGAACTTCCTTTTTGGTATATGAGTAATACTACAGGCTAAATCTGACCTGTTAATCCAAATCCTAAATGGCACCAAGACCGTCACTGCTCATGAATCAGTGTCCCTGTTAAATAGCCTACACAAGTTCACCCACAGGCTGATGTAGCAGAGTTTGGCTCGACTCAGTGCTGGAATAAGTAGCGTATTGTAGGAAATTGTTCAACATGCCACAGATGGCTGCTTGGGTCGCCGCTGCCATGGGTATTACATTCCATTATTTAAGGTGATTCGATAGTAGTGGTGGGAGTTTGTTTTTGAGGTGCGTGCGTCGAGAGCGCACACATTGCATGTTCAACAGATGGGTAGAAAACAGAGACACGGAGAGAGGGAGGATGCTCGGAGGCTTCTTTCCACTCCCGTTGTCGCATCCCGGTTGTCATTCCCGTTCAGCGTCACCGGAGCCACCTGCTTGCTAAGGGGGGGGGGGGCACGAGGCCAGCGTCTGAGGAATCGTTTTCTCAGCCTCCACAAAAACCCGGCATACTTATCATTTTACCGAAACTAACAGGGAACATACTGTGAGGAGGTATGGTAACAAGAAGCGGCACTGCGGCAGACGCACGCCACAGTCAGAGGCGCCCACTGATAAATCGGACCTCGGTGCGTGATCTGGTAGCTTTTAAATGACTTTCTCTTGCGTGGTGACATGCCAGTACGGATGCAAGTCAAGCAGTCCCCCTTTCAACCTCCCAGTGCATGCTCACTGGCGTCTTTGGTTCGCTCTGGCTCTTTAGCATTCTACGGAAGAAGGAACCCACTCACCAAGGCGCACAGCGCGCACGGGGGGGATCGGCATCAGCCCTCTAACCTAACGATATACAGTGAACCAGGCCACGGAGGAGACGTCCTCCTGCCAAGAATCATTTCCAGCCATTAGGGGCACTGCTAAAGAAGCTTCGAGGCGGGTGGAAGATCTCTGATTTATTAATGTTATTCTAAACTCAAAATGGCATCGTGGAAACCCCCGTAAGAGGAGAGAGGACACCATCATTGTGGGTGTGTGTATGGAAGGTGGAAATAAAAGGGTTTGGGCAAGTTGTGTGCGCGCGCGCGTGTGTGTGTGTGTGTGTGTGTGTTTCTTTTGGCCACTGCGCAAAGTTACAGGTCTGCCAGCGGCTTTAGAGGCAATCATACAGCTCTCTGTGTCTCCCACTGAGCGATTCAGCATTCAGGAGGCTTTTGCTGTCCACCTGTGCTCAGCTAATGGGCTGTAATTCAACTGGTGAGATGTATTTGGGGATTTTTTCTGTGATCGGTACTTAAGTTCAGTTCACAGATCACACAACCCCGCGAATAACTTGTGAAACTGGCCAATATGAGGGTCCAGTTTCAAACTCATATGCGTCATTAAAACTGGACTACACTTATACACTGTGATCTTTAAACAAGGACGTCAAGAATAAAATAAATAAATAAGCCGGCAGACTGCAAAGCAATCTGGAGTAGTCTACATGGCGCAAAGAAACAGCCCAACGGGTTTTACAGACGTAGAGTTGAATAGATAAAATACATTACCTGATCGCTGTCAGCAGTAGTTATTTGATGCGACGGCTATTCCCCGATCGGTTCCGTGGATACAAATTAAGTTTTCCATCCATGGCACGTCTCAGATGGAGAGGGAGACTCATTCATTCACCCACGCGACTGCGCTGCACGAATGTTCTCTGCGAGGCATTCCACTTCTGCGCCTCCGAAACGGACCAAAAAATAAGTGTAAAAAATAAATAAATAAAAATGAGGAAAGATCGCTATAAAGACGTGAAATCATAAAGTAGCCATAGATCAAAGGAAAGCGGAACAGAAGAACGCAAAAAAGACATAAAAAATGAAAATAAGAGGGAACGTCGCTTTTGTAGATGTCCAGTTGTGTGCCAAAAATAAATCCACGTCATATAATCTCCATGGTTTTGCGCATATAGGCACGCTGTATATTCCAATGCAAGGAGAGAACGCGCTCACAGACAGCAGCGCCGCAGCAGCAGGGGCAGAGTGGGATAACGGTTTCTTTTCTACTGATGCCCGATACTCCAAGTCCAAGGAAGCTCTTCATTTGAAGCAGAGACAGAAGCAGAGAGAGGAAGGGGGGTGGGAAGAAAAATATATTTTAAAAAAGCATTCTTATTCCGTTCACTGCCCCTATTCACTCCTCTTTCCTGTCAGAGGGTGAAATGTGTCTGTGGCTCCCGCCTGCTCTGGCATTTGGGATAGGTATCCACAGGCAGCGGCTCACAGTCGGGCATCTGGCTCCCCTGCAGTCGCTTCACAAGCGGAGGACAGAGATGCGCGCCCTCGCTGCCCTCCGCCGGGGATCCGTCAGGCGCGTTCACAACGGAACCCTTCCTCCCTCCCGCTCTTCTTTACCCCACTACCATCGTGACGTCAGCGCGCAGTTTCCAAATACAGCAAGTGCACATGCACCGAAATGACTGAAATTTGCATAGTCTTGAAATAATAACCCCACTTATAACATGTAACTTGTTATTTTCAATAACCAGTCTACTTAACTGTTTCATTCTGTAGTGTCTCTCAGTTTATGTAGGAATACTGCTGTTAGTCTAATGAAGCAAATATAAAGCCCAAACTATTTCAACAAATTAGCACCGCATTTATGCATATTTAAATATTCGATCCATTTGGAAGACCCAGCAGTTATCTCTATACCACATCTCAGTGAAAATAGTCATTATTATTATTATTGCTCACACATGTCCTTGTTAGCATTTCCAGGCACTCTGTCAGAAATAATCTAAAATGGAGAAGAGATCTGCCAGTCTTTATTGCTTTCAGTGTCAATTCTACAATAAAGCTAAAAAAGCTAAAATGTCATTTCACACAAACATGCAATTACATCACACCTACATGTGATTGGATTTTGGAGTACTTGCTGCATACATTTGCAAATGGATTTGTTAAAGTGGTGTGACATTAGTCAGCTCAAATGTTCCTTGAGCTCAGAGGTGCAAGAGGAGCTGTAGCGGTGCAGCTCTTTTAGCGTAGACAGATTTCCAACTATCCATGTGGTCACCCATCATCCATTTTGCAGTCTTCTTACAGTTCTGTGGGTAAATTTAAGACTTAAGGCTCATCACCAACTACCTCACAGAGGACGAAAGCTTTTCCACACATTGAAAAGTTGTTTATTTTTTATTTTATTTTATTTTTTATGTATAGTGAACAACTAGGTGCTGCATTTGCAGTCAGACACAGTGTGAAAATGAAGTCAGTATCTCTGGAGACCGAAGTGGACAGTATCACTTTCATAACTCAGATTTGAACACTCACCATTGTGCTCAATGAACACAGTGGCAGATGACACAGAGCAAATAGTAGCTATCGTGGGATTGTGTCTGCCAGATTACAGCGTGTCAGAGCTGTAGATTTAAAGTTAAACAACATTTCTTCTTCTTCACTCTTGACTCAGTAGGTTGCCAGATTTCCTTTGTCTCTACACATATTTGTTTATATGTAAATAGACCCTGGCTTGATTTTGTGGAATTCTTTTTGGTAATGATTTCATGTTTGGAAATTTGCTGCAAGGCTTAGAGAGTTGCATCAGTTCACTGAGCTGAGGGATGCATTGCAATACTGACAGATCCATTTTTAATTGCCGAATGATGATTTTGTGTGTCTGATTAATGGTAACACTAATACATGAAAATGAAATGGCCCTATGTTATCTGAGATGTCAGGACAGAATGCATGTGTATTGGTGTTTTTCCTCTGCTTAAGTATATTAAATAAACTAGGGGTTTTCTTGGATGTACCATTGTCATAAGACCTGCCAATGATAATTTTCCCTCCGCTTTACAGCTCTTGTAAGCGACTTTCTATGAACATTTTGCTATTCGCCTGAGAGGATTCTGCTGGGAATCAAATTTGTGGCCTCCCAAATTGGACTAAATGAAAGCACAAAGCAGATCAAAAGGGAGACTGTCTGCCACTGTGATAATCATGCTCATATATTAGCATTAGAACATGCCATTGCAACTAATTCTGCAGTTACATATATTGATGAAAAATTCTTCGCTCACCACCTTTAATTCACTTACTGACTGATAGGAATCTCTTTACAATTTATCATTTCCCATGACTAATTGGAAAAAGGGATTCGCACAATGTTAACTATTTGAAATAGAAGCCACACTACAGATGGTGTTCAGACGTTTGTCTGCTCTCTGTTCCAAATGTCCAGGATGGTTTGCAAACATCACTCAAACATGATATCCTCACATCGTCCTACATCCACCAGTTGGCAAGACAGCGCCTCAGGATAACAGCATCGCTAGAAAGGGAAATTTTTCATTGACTAGAACAGCATACTTTGGAACATTCTTGGCAGAGACAAAATAATCACATTGTCAGGACAGTAAATGTTTCCCAGTGCTGTACAATGGGGATGGCTGGCAGGTGCTTCAAGCATGTACTTCTGAACAAATCCACAGCTGGATGTAGTCTAGTAGGCCTTTGGTACACTGCTACAAATTATATATAATTTGATATATTCCTTCACATGGGAAACTTTTTAAATATACTACTTCATTGACTTTCTGTGGCCTTTGAACCCAGTCCTTGGATGTATTCAACATCTTATATTGAATTTACGAGTTTAGTATTGGGACTAGTATGTACACCCCATTAATTTGAATATATTTCAAATTACCTTGTCTTCTTAGAGACTTTGGTCTGTAGTGGGAACCATTGGTATGTGAAGCCCATTGATACATTGGACTAACTGTGATATTGGGCTATAGAAATGAATGACTACTCTTGTTATCCTGTCTGGTTATACTGGGAAATGATGACCTTGTTACTCAGAATAAACACAGACGGGGGAGTTAAAAAAGACCCATGATGAAAGTTTGGATGGTGAAAAAGAATGCAGTGCATGCCAAGTTTGTTGCAATTTCAGCACCATGGAGAGCTCATTGAAGCCTAGATCATGCTTTTAGTGACACATACACACACACACACACACACACACACACACACACACACACGCACACACACACACAAAGTCCTTGGAAGATTTCAGCACTATGGAGAGCTCCATCAGTATCTCAGAAAGACATGAAAGGTGATTTTGGAGCCTTCTTATACACATTTGGGCATAGACAGACAGACAGACAAACACACACACACGCCAGCTGATTTAGCCATGAGGACAGCAAAGAGATAGAGAGCTTATTTTTAAAATATGTTTATGTGATTCCATTCTATTAAACCAAAGGGAATTTCTCTAAGCATACATTTCGCACTATATTGGCCCCCTTTGAAAGTGGATAAGAAACAGAGCATTTTAAAATCTCAATGTTCTTTACCATGGTTTTCACCACATTTGAGAGATTAAAGCTCTTTTGCACAGATATAGTGCCTATTTTCTCAGCTTTAATTAACAGATTGTCTTCCACGTGCAGAAAATATGTGTAATCATGATTGTAAGGAGGACAATATTTATAAGGAAATTCACTGATTAAAATTAATCACTTGAATAAATGTCTGCCACTCTGTTTAATCTTACATGTCTTTTCAGCCTTTTCATTTTTCATACAATCACTTCTCTACATTACCCTTTGCAGTAATAACGGTTTCTCGACAGTGGAGCTGACCTGCACTTCTGGGGGCCATGCTTCAGGAGGCAGCTAGGTCAAGCTTTTTGTGTGAACTGTGCAACCTACTGTGTGTATGTATATGTACCATGTATGTACACATCAGCATAAGTCAATAGTGCCCCTTGACCTGATTAACTGACATCTGCTGTAACCAGAGGGAGTCTTCTGGTACAGACACTATAAGAAGAACTAGTAGAAGAAATCTTCTAAGAAGGAATACAGCATCTAAGAGCGAATTAGAGGATGATAGTGAGAATTATTACATCAGTATATACTGGATGTACTGTATGCTTGCATCTCTATGGAGATCTATTTGTGCAAATTATTTTATTTCCACTTTGCTCATATGTTGCTATCATATTGTTAAACAAAAAGCATCAGTCTAGCTGGTATTTTGCTCTTATTGTTTACAAAGGTGTGTGCTAGCACTGACAATAAGCAATTTCCTATTTAGACTTAAGGTGTGCATATGTATAGTTCTCAGTTTTGTGTACAACCTTAAACCCCACATTAAATGAAAAAGCCATAAGGCATGCAAATACCCCAACTCCACTGTTAGGCCCCTGATGAAAACAACTGTAATTTTCTACTCTTACTCTCTGTAATTTTAAAACGTCTGCCTTTTCAGAAAATTGTATTGCCCCTGTTTGATTAATTTTGCAGAGGCTAAATGGCTCCTGAACAATGGCGTGTTTGATTTGCTTCCATGAATCAGGGAAAGTAAGGACAAGCCAAAGCTTCGGGGTAGAACTGGCATTGTCACTATTGTTTTTCACTTTCCCTTTTTCACGTAGCTAGTATCAGGGAACAGAGTGAGGCCCATTCAATCACAGTCACTTGGACAACTTGCATACAACAAGTACAGCAGCATACAGAGACAGATGTATTTCTTTAAACTGGTATTTGACTTGAGTTGTACATTTTTCCCTGCAGGACCTCCTTGTAGTCTGTGAACCATCAACTGCACTTATTACTTGCCTTTAGGATTTTTTTCTCTTCTTTTCTGATCCCTGTTTGCAGTAATCGCTTTGAAGTCTGCCAGTGCACCAGCTTCGATCAAAAATAACACATACGCCATAATGTTTTCATTCTACCCCTTTTCCATTCACACTTTCCAGAGATACACTTCAGTAATCCTCTCTTCTCTGTGTTAATGCATCTCTTATCTGCTTAGATTTGAAATCAAGACAGAGCAGGCGTTGTGCTTTGGGGACGTTATGTTGAGGTAAATCCAAGCACAAAAACACCTGAATGAAACATCCCATATTTGCTACAGATCTTCTTTTTTATTTACTCTAATTTCCCATCTCTGAAAATGCAGTTGTGCACAGACTTATTTGAGCATAATCAAGTGCATGCTTGTGCATGTGTGGGTTCGTGTGCAGCCATATATGTGAATGCCACCATAAAATTGGGTCCTGTTTGTGTGTCTAATGCTCAGCCCACTGAATCCTCGGTGGGGTGGGAGCTTGGAAAAAAGCAGTGGTCCATGAAGCTAACTAGAGTTCCTCCCTGATCAAATGTGACAATTATGATAGTGCTCCTTGGTACAAAACTCCCTTCTGGCTCCCCCATCCATTCCTTCCTCTTCTCTGCTAATGCCACCTCCTCTTTACATCTTTTACTTTTCTGCCCTTTTCTCTATCATGCGACCGCTACTCTGTATTTTC